CCGTGTACACGGGCCCCGCGGGCTCGCAGAGCAGGAGCGCGCCCGCCTCGGTCTCCAACGGGGTCTCGGGACCTGGCTCCGCCTGCAGTCGCCGCAGCCAGCGGTCCTGCAGCGCCAGCAGCCGGGAGTACCGCGCCCGACCCAGCCGCACCAACCGGACCGCGGGTGGCGGCATCGCGCCCTCGGCGGCGTCCGCGGGCCACGCCCCCTGCCTGGGCCGGGCGACGTGCCGGAAAGGGCGGGAGCTCAGAGACACGCCCCGAGTCGCAGCTCGCGTGGGCGTGTTAACAGGGCGACTGTGTGATGCCACCCTTCAGCGCAGGGTCGGCCTCATCCATTCATTCATTTCAAGAATCAGTATTTAGTGTCTGCGGCATTCTGCGGGGCCTGCCCTAGGCGCTCGATACAGCGGTACACAGCTTATGAGAAAAAAGATCTGTCCTGGTAAGCTTAACGTTCCTACAGCAGATGATAAGTATTAAAGTATTAAGTAAGGCAGTTTCACATAGTGATAAGTGCTGTGGAAAGAAAAATAAAACGAGGTCACGTGGTGCGTCCTGGGTTGAGCTCCTTGAGGACTCAAAAGGGAGGGAGATGGGTGTGCCTTCGGAAGGTTTATTTTTGGGGGTAAGGGGTGGGTGCTTCAAGACCTGCACTTGTAAGTAATGGGAGCGGGATTTTGTAGGCGGAGGGAGAAGTTGAACTACAAAACACTTGCAGCAGAGGCCTTAGCCGATCCCAAGGAATGTTCTGAGCCTGGGATGATCTTTCAGAGTTGTTCCAGATTAAAACAAGGGGTGCGCCAGAAATGTTTATCCTTACATTGACCTGTCATGGATGCAGGATACACCTGGGGAGAGACGCTGTGATTTTTGACAGGGCTGCTTCCTTCGGTGGAGGGCAGCCCCCGGAAAGGGACTTAGTTGTGAGTCATCAGCAACCAACAACTGGAAGCTAGGGGAATGACTGGCTAGGTCCTGAGGAGGGATCTGGACCATGTCAACTGCTGTGTTGCAGTTGGAATGTCCATTACACAAGTTTGAATTCATTCAGTACACTTTTACTGAGTACCAACTATATGTTAGTTCCTTGGGTAGGTTGAAGAGGATGCATACGGCTATCCCAAACTTGTATTCCTGAATAACATAAAGAACCAATTTTTTGTGTCCTCACTCTTTCCTCGGACTCTATCCTACAGCCAAAGATTGTTCAGGTAAAAGAGAAAAAAAGGGGGGAGGGGCAAGGAAGCAGAAAAGTATAGAGAATATTGGGACAAATGACTGTTTTCCTGCCAGCCAACTTTGTCAAATTTTGGTACTTATGCCGGGCTCGGTGGCCCAGCCTGTAATCCCGCGCCTTTGGGAGGCTGAGGTGAGTGGATTGCTTGAGCCCGCGGGTTCAAGACCCGCCCGGGCGGTGAGACCTCATCTCTACAATAAATCAAAAAATTAACCGGGCGTGGTAGCGCGCGCCTGTAGTTCCAGCTACTCGCAAGGCTGAGGCGGAAGGATCGCCGGAGCCCAGCAGGCAAGGTTGCGGTGGCCGGGAGCGGCCACTGCACTCCAGTCTGGGCGACCGAGTGAGACTCCAACTGAAAACAAACAAACAAACAAATTGATACTTTACTGTCTTTATTAATTTTAAAGAAAAAAATTCTATAGAAGAAAGCAAAGTGAAAAGCAGCATATTCTGCAATTCTACAGGCAGTAGAAAAATAAAATAAATAAAAATAGCATAAATAGTAGGCTAACAGTTTTGTGAAAGTGGATCCTGACTGACGAAATATTTGCTTGTATTTCCTTGAAATATATTTGGAAGGCCAGGTGTGGTAGCTCACACCTATAATCCCAGCACTTTGGGAGGCCGAGGCAAGAGGATTGCCTAAGCTGGCGTACTCGAGACCAACTTGGGCAACTTGGCAAGACTTCATCTCTACAATAAATAAAAAATTAGGTGGGAATGGTGGTGCATGCCTGTAGTTTCAGCTACTTGGAAGGCTGAGATGGAAGGATCGCCTGAGCCCAGCAGGTCGAGGCTGCGGTGGCCGTGAGTGTGCTACTGCCCTCCAGCCTGGGCAACAGAGTGAGACTCCGACTCAAAAAAAAAAAAGAAATATATTTGGAAGATCCAAGCATGGTGGCACACACTGAAGTACTAACTATTTGAGAAGTTGAGGCAGGAAGATCACATGAGACCAGGAGTTCAGGGCTTCAGGGAGCTATAATAGCACCACTGCACCCCAGCATGGGTGACAGAATGAGACCCTATCTTTTTTTAAAAAACTGTGATTTGGAAGACTAAACAAGACATTAATAACATTCATTGTCACTGCAGGTGTCTGAAAGATGTTTCACAAACATAAACATAAAAATCCTAAGCAAATATTGGCAAATTGAACCCTGCAGTGTATAAAGGGATTAACACATCATGATGAAGTAGGGTTTATTCCAGGAATGTGAGGTTGGTTTAACATTCTAGAATCAAACAATAAATAAAAAAGAATCATATTTTTTTCCAATGGATGCAAAAAAAGCTGTTGGCAAAAATCAACACCTATTCTGACCAAAACACTTAGCAAACTAGGAATAGAAGATAAATTCTTCAATCCGATTAAGGGTTCAAATCATCAGTCAGGGTTTAGATAAGAGAGAGAAACCACACGTAATATTTTAAATAAATTTCTTATTTGAGAAAATTATAGACTCACATGCAGTTGTAAGCAATAACATATGTACCCTTTACCCAATTTCCCCCAGTGGTAACACCTTGCAAAACTATAGTACAATATCACAATCAGGATGTTGTCATTGATACAGTCAAGATGCAGAAAATTTCCATCACCACAAGGATCCTTTGTATTGCTCTTTATGATTGACACTGATTCTTAATTCTTGGCAAACACTAATCTGTTTATATAAATGAAATCATGCAGTATGTAACCTTTTGGAATTTTTTTTTCACTCAGCATAATACTTTGGTGGCTCATCCAAGTTGTTAAAAGTATCATTAGTTTATTTCTTTTTATTGATGAGTTGTTTTTTTTCATGGTATGGATGTATCATAATTTGTTTATTCATTCACTGTTGAAGAATACCTGGCTTGTTTTCAGTTTTCAGATATTCTGAATAAAGCTATTCTAAACATTCATGTAGAGGTTTTGTGTGAACATAAGTTTTCATTCCTCTGAAATAAATGCACAGGAATGCAGTTGCTGGGCTGCATGGTAGTTGCATGTTTAGTTTTTTAAAAAACTGTCAAAATGCTCTCCAAAGTAGCTTTATCATTTTATATACCCACCAGAAATATATGAGTGATTCAGTTTCTCTACATGCTTGTCAGCATTTGCTATTGTCACTATTTTTTAGCCATTCTGATAGGTGACTGGTGGTATCTCGTGATTTCAATTTGTATTTCTCTAATAACTTAATGTTGTAGGACATCTTTTCATGTGCCTATTTTTTATCCATAATTCCATCTGTATCTTTAGTGAAATATCTGTTCATGTCTTTTGCCCATTTTCTAACTGGTTATTTTTTTTTTAATTTTGCTGAGTTTTGAGACTTCTTTATATATTCTAGATACTAGTCTTTTGTTAAATATGTGGTTTGTAAATAGTTTCTCCCAGTCTATGGCATGTATTTTAATCTTTTTTTTTTTTTTGAGTTTGAGTTTGAGTCTCACTCTGTCGCCCAGGCTGGAGTGCAGAGGCATGCTCACAGCAACCCCAGTGTCAGCCTGCTAGGCTCCAGTGATCCTTCTACCTCAGACTTCCAAGTAGCTGGAACTACAGGCATGTGCTACCATGCCCAGCTAATTTTTGATTTATTGTTGACTTGGTCTTGCCAAGTTGCCTCGGCTAGTCTCGAACCCCCGGGCTCAGACAGTCCACTTGTGTGGCCTCCCAAAGTGCAGGGATTACAGGCTGAGCTACTGAGCCTGGCCCTTTTCATCTTCTTCATGGGATCTTTTATAGAGCAAAATGTATAATTGTGATATAGTCCAATTTATCCAATTTTCTTTTTATGGATTGTGCTTTTGGTCTAAGAATTCTTTTGCCTAGCCTTAGATACTGAAGACTTTCTCCTGTGTGTTTTTATTTTTAAGATTTTTTTATTTTATGACCTGGTGCAGTGGCTCATGCCTGTAATGTCAGCACTTTGAAAGACTGAGGTGGGAGAATTGCCTGAGCCCAGGAGTTAGAGACCAGCCTGAGCAACACAGCGAGACCTCATCTCTACAATAAATTTAAAAAATTAGCCAGGTACACACCTGTAGTCCCAATTACTCCGAGGCTGAGGCAGAAGGATCGATCACCTGAGCCCAGGCGGTGGAGGCTGCAGTGAGCCATGATCGTGTCACTGCACTCCAGCCTGGGCAACAGAGTAAAACCCCCACTAAAAATATATTTTTGTATATATTTTTAATTTTACATTTAAGTCCATGATGCATTTTGAGTTAATTTTTAAATTAGCTATGAAACTTTGGCTGTAGTTTTTCTCCTTCTCCTCTTCCCCCTCCTCTCCCCTCCTCCTCCTCCTGCTCCTCCTTCTTGGCATATGCATGTTCCATTATTCCAGCACCATTTGTTCCAAAGGCTATGTTTCCTCCATTGACTATTTTTTTCACCTTTGTTAAAACCACTTGTGGGTGGGTGGGTGGGGGAACATTTGGGCCTATTTGTGTAATCATATTTCAGGGTTCTCTATTCCATTCCATTGATCTGTGTGTTTATCCCTCTACCAACACAGGTTGAAAATTCTTTATCCGAAAATCTGAAATTCGAAATGCTCCTAAATCCTAAACCTTTTGAGTGCCGATATAATGCCACAAATGGAAGGTTCTACACCTGACCTCATGTGATGGGTTGCAGTCAAAACTCAGGAGCACAGCACACTATTCAGATTTCCAAGGGAAAAAGACCCCCCCAACTCTCTTCAGCTGTTATTTATTTATTTTTTTTGCACACACCCAGATCCCCCCATGCAAGCACACCCACAAAGGGCAATAAAATGACATGTGTACAGGATGGACATGCCAACGGAAGGTTCCCCACAATGCCCTACATAGGCCCAAGACCTATATGCATTACTTACTGTGGTTTTTTGCTTACTCTCTGCTATGTGATATAAATATATTGTTGAAAGTGTCAAAAAGGCCTACAGAGACTTCCATGAA